AGACGTCACGCAGTGAATGTAAATGTAAATGTATCCAACTTCACAAACGTGACGTATCTTTGTAGGCATACGTTTCTCTACTTCGTACTTATACATACCGATAGTAATAAGATAGAGAGAGAAAATTGATAAGAGACAAAAGAATGTCACGAGACAGCGACATAGTGCATTTATGAACCCTTGAAAAATAAACTCAAAACCCTAATTATCTCTTGTGGTTGCGGACTTGCGGCTGTATAAATACGTCATTGTTTTGATGAATGTGTCGGAAAAGTGATCATCTTCTTCTTTGTTAGATAAGAAGTTAAGAACTCTAGAAGAGATATATCAATCAAGGACCTGATCATGTCACACATCGCCGTTGAGAGGAATCGAAGAAGGCAAATGAATGAACATCTTAAATCGCTTCGTTCTTTGACTCCTTGTTTCTATATCAAAAGGGTAATTTCCACGTTATCGATCCTCTTCCTTTACTCAATTCCATTTAATTTTCTCGATGAGATTGGGGATTTCGTTTCTTGGTTTAATGATCGGTGTTTCTTTGTTGAAGTAATTTAAAGGGTCTAATTTGAGATTTCATTAAATTTTATTTGGCCGGACAATTGAACCTTCTTGAATAGTTTATTTTTCAAGAACAAAGAAAAAAATTGTTTGTAAACAAAAGGACTTCCATACGTAACGAATCATGCATGGTAATCCTTCCAGTATTGGATATTCCAAACTTACTAATTTAAAAATAACATAATTAATCCAATATTCTCATTGTGCATTTTTTTCTTCTTTATATGTGTTTTTTTTTATAAAGTTCTTCTGTATGTATGTGTTATAATTTAAAATAGGCAATATATATTTCTATTTGTTAAGTTATCAAAACAAATTTTTCGCATGCACCGCTACAATTTATTCCCAAATATGGTATTGTTTTTGATGATTGATCGGCTATTTAGGGAGATCAAGCTTCTATAATCGGAGGTGTGATAGAGTTCATCAAAGAATTGCAACAATTGGCACAAGTTCTCGAGTCCAAGAAACGTAGAAAGACACTAAACCGACCTTCTTTTCCTTATGATCAACATACACTCGAGCCATCCATTTTAGCCGCAGCCAACACCAACACCAGAGTACCGTTTAGCCGTATAGAGAATGTAATGACCACAAGCACTTTCAAGGAAGTAGGAGCATGTTGCAACTCTCCTCATGCTAATGTGGAAGCTAAGATTTCAGGCTCTAACGTTGTATTGAGAGTTGTCTCAAGGAGAATCTCGGGCCAGCTGGTCAGGATCATCTCCATTTTGGAGAAGCTATCTTTTCAGGTTCTTCACCTCAACATTAGCAGCATGGAGGAGACTGTCTTATACTTTTTCGTTGTCAAGGTACATATTTACATCTACATATATATGAAAACAATGTTAGTTCAATCACTAGAATAACCAATTAAACTTCACTATATATCATAATACATTAGATTGAATTTAAGGTATAGAGCTATATATTGAGATAAAAGTCTCTAAATGGCTGATGGAACGCCAATTATGCTAACCAAAATTGATGTCTTGCATTGATTTAGTAACTTGTAACCGAATTAAGATTTTTCAACTTTGAATAATGTTTCTTTACACTAAAATATTATCCAATATTAATAATAAGCTAAATGTATATATATATGGATCAAAGAAGAACATTAATATGAACGTTGTTTTTCTATAAATTTAAGCAAAATAAAATTACATGTGCAGATAGGATTGGAGTGTCACTTAAGCTTGGAGGAGCTAACCCTTGAAGTTCAAAAAAGCTTTGTGCCTGAAGTCATCGTCTCTGCGAGTTAAAACCAAAATCACATGTACTAGTGTGAATCGTTACAAATAAGCTCATGCAAACTTAATTATTGTTTAACTTGTATGGATCATATCACTTGTGTTCTACTTAGTTTGCTTTAATTAGTATTCGAACTCCATCAAAGTTGTAATTTTCCACAATATAACAATTACGAATTTAACATAACTAACTACAATTCTATCAAAATAAGTTATAACTATTGTAAATTTTGAAAAAAAAACAAGAAGTGAAAAAATAAGCAAAACATAAGAAAAACAAAAGCAGAAAATTAGAAAAAGTGATAAAAGATAGTAATAGGTTAAAATTTAAGATATTATATATATTAGAAAGGTTGGGT